GATAAAAAATTTCTACAGTATTTATACTATTTACATCCTTACAACTTAATTACTACAGGAGCTTAAACTAGTTAGGTTCATATTGACCTTATTTTTTTATATATTCAATCGAAAAAGGGTTTTAATCTATTTGCGTGAATCTTTTGTGTTGTTTTTTCTTTCTGTTTAGTATAGTTAACGTCAGAGTGTTTTTGGATTATTTTATAGGGACCTACCCATAGAGATGAAAGTTTTCTACTCCTACCCTTGCGAACAGATTCGTCAAACAGTAAAACCATATCTCCTACATCGAATTGTTGAATGAAACCTTTTTTGTCGTTGATATTGACTTAATTTGTAACAAATTTTCTCTAGCTAATCGATTGAAATAATGAAGCTTTTCTTCGAGGTTTGCAACGAAATGGTCATACGTATTCTTGGTTCTAGCAGGCTGTTGAACAGAAATAGGTAAATTAAGAACATGTACGTATAGAAGTTTGAATGGAAATTTTAGTTGCGCTATATGGAGTTGTGTTATACGTAAATGTTGCGAAGAGCAACCAGTTGTCCCAATCTTCTTGCGAATCTGCTATAAAGTCCCTCACATATTCTTCTAATATCCTATGAGAGCGTTCTAATGCACCGTTTGATTACGGGTGGTAGCCTGTAGTTTCAATTTTTTTTATTTTTAAAAATTTATAGGTGGTTTTGAAAAGATCGCTTAAGATATTTGTACCTTGGTCCGTGAATAGCGTTTCTGGCAACCCGTATATACATATAATATTTGTTTCGAAATGATGAGCTATTGTAGAAGCTTCCTGATTTTGCATTGGCACGTTGATAATAAATTTGGTCAAATCATCTTGGAAAGTGAGAATATACTTGCTCCTTGCCTCTGTTTGGGGCAAAGGTCCTACTATATCAAGAAAAAATCTTTCAAATGGCTTAGAAGAAGTTGTTGTTATCTCCATTGTCATTTTTGTTTTACGCGACAATATGTTTTTCTGACAATTCAAATTTTTCCAAGCGTAAAGTTGAGACATTTTTTTGTATGTGCGCGAAACTCCCTGATGTCCTTCCTCTTAGCGGAGAGTTATGGAATTCGTTTAGTAGGGTTTCTTTATCGGAATCGTTGGGTGTGATTAAAAATCGTTATTTCAACTCCCGAATTTTTGAAAATATATCTTAACATTGGATGAATTATTTCCCATTTTATTAGAGGATTGTAATGATATTTTACAAAAGAAAGTTTAATTTATTCATCCCCTATTTGAATTCACAAACTTATTAAGCAAGACCAAATATTTTCGTAGTTTATGTTATTATTATATCGATACGCCGTAGAAATTTCAAAATTTTCTTCTTGACTATAAGAGGATAAAAACTTATTTATTTGTTGATTTTTCTCTTAGATTGTAAGTTCACTTTTATTAAAATTTTTTGGTTTAAATAATATCCCAGGGTCTGTTGTACTGTCAACTTGGAAAAGATTTGTCTTATTTTCTTTAACATTGGAATTAGTAACAATATGGGATTCTAAGTATTCTTGAAACTTTGCATAATCAGTTATTAAATCAGTGTTGATGGTATTGATAATTCTACTCAATGCGTCCGCGTTTGTGTTTATTTTACCGGCCTTGTAAACTACTTGTAATCATATTCTTCAAGCTTTAATCAAAATCGAGTGAGTCGCGATCCGGGATCTTTAATTTTAAAAACGTATTGCAACGGCTTATGGTCCGTCACAATTTTGAATTTGGTACCGAAAATATAGGGTCCAAAATGTTAAACGGCCCAAACCAAACTATGGCTGTCCATTCCTTTTCCGTTGTAGAATAGTTTTGTTCTGCTTTGTTCTACTGGCAAATGCTATTGGCCGATCTTTATTTATTTCCCCTTGTGACAAAATCGCGCCTACCGCGAAATTACTTGCATCGGTTGTAATTATGAATTGTTTGGAAAAATCCGGATATCGTAGTACGGGAGGAGAAGGTATACTTACTTTGTTTTAGGGACTGAAATGAAATATCACTCGTATTATCCCATGTAAATTCCCTATTTTTTTGCAGTAATTTAGTTAAAGGCTTAGAGATTTTAGCAAAATCTTGTATGAATTTCTTATAATATCCTACCAACCCCAAAAATGATAATACATACTTAGGGTTTCTGGGTGTAGGAAAATTGGCTACGCATTCTACTTTTGAAGAGTTAGGTTTAATGCCGTTTTCTGATATTATATGGCCTAAATACAGACATTCTTTGCGTAAAAATTCACACTTAGATGGCTTTAACTTCAAATTATGTTCTTGAAATTTCTGAAATACTTCAATTAATCGTTCATTATGCTGATTTAAGTTATTTGCATAAATTACTACCTTGTCTAATTGAAAAAAGCATTTTAAACCATTAAGCCCACTTAAAACTGAATTCATAAGTCTTTGAAAGGTTGCGGGTGCTCCCTTAAGCCCAAATGGCATTCTATTATAAGCGTAATGTCCTATGGGTGTACTAAACGCAGTTTCATCTTTATCATAGTCGTCCATTGGAACTTGATGAAATCCTTCAGCTAAATCTAAAGTTGTAAAATAGTGTTAGTTACCTAGTTGGTCCAAAATGTCTGTGATATTAGGTAACGGAAACGTGTACCCTCCTGTAGTTATTTCATTAATTTTCCTGAAATCTACTACTTTTCTAAAATTAGGTACTCCCGAATAGTCAGTTTTTTTGGGAACTACTAATAAGGGACTATTCCAAGGGCTAGTTGAGGGTGAGATTATACCATCTTCTAACATTTGTTCAGTTTTGTTACTTATAATTTCTCTATGTTTAAAAGGTAATCTAAACTGCTGGACAAATGAAGTGGAACAAGCGAATTTTTAGTTTAACTTTAGATTCCAATATTACTCGAACTAAAGAAGATATCAATGAGTAATTTAGAAGTTAATTTTCGCAAACCGCTCATTGATATGTTTTTTAGTTCGCGTAATATTGGAATTTGAAGTTAACCTGAAAATTCGCTTGTTTTGCTTCATTTGTCCAGCAGTTTATATGGTTGAATGTTGATAGGTCCCTTAATGGGATCCGTTGGTATTTTATGTTCTATTGTACTTGTAGCTTGTCACCTTTTAGGTCAAAGATATCACTAAAATCAGTGCAAATTTTTAATAGCAAATTTTTTTCATCATTAAGTAGGTACTTTTAAATCAATGTCTTGTACATGTTTTCGCAAACTATCAATGTGATTTATGTTATTTTCTTTATTTTTGAGACTTATGTAGAAAATAGAAAATTCGTTATTATTTATTGGCTCGATATTTACTTTTGGTGAAGGGATAGTCATAGGGTATTCAGAAATATTCGAAATACTAACTAAGCATCTATAATCGCGTACTTTTGTTACTGACGATCCTAAATAAAGACAATTTGTCAGTTGCTTAGCAATTACAAATCCTTCCATATCAGTGGTATAGCGCAGAAGTCATCATTTCGCATCTAGCAGGAATAGTAATTGTTTCCGATGACATAATTTTAAAATCATTGTTTTCAAAACTGAGAGTTCCATCCTCGTAATTTATTTTTGCTTCATACTTTGAGAGAAAGTCTCGTCCTAAGAGACCATCGTGTTTAATTTGAACACTTTCAGGAATAGTATGAAAAGGATGCTCTGAGGTTTTATTATTTCTTAAATTTATTTTAATAATAAGAAAGCCTAAGGTATAAATAGATTGTTCCGTTATGCCCTTTAATTCAATTAAATTATTTTTATCTAAATTAGCGTTACTTATTAATGAGGATTCTTTTAATAAAGATACATCCGCGCCTGTGTCTATCAAGAGTTGAATTTCTGAGTTTTTTACATTATCGGCGTTGATCTTAATTATATCTGATTGCCTTTGACCGTTTGAAAAAAAAATTGATTTTAGACCTTTGAAAGGAGGTATCACTTGACCACTAATGCCATTTGAGATTTAGGAGTTGGAGCTTACCCCCGCAAGAGTGTTGAAGTAACAACATTGAAAATATGTGCAAAAGAATGAAAATCGACGGGTCCGAGCGATTTTTTTCAATGAACGATGAATACGAGATATTGGCCTGGTTGTATAAAGTTACTTATGTAAATTTTGATCGCAATTTCCAGGTTCAAAAGTGAGCAAAATTATCAGTTCAGTTGATCAGGCATTTCAAAGAGAAGACATGTCGGTTTCAAACTACTAGTCTTCTCTGATAATGCAACAAACGGCTGGCGGCGAAATTGCTTGCGGCGAAACGGCTTGCGGTGAAAAGTCCCATCCCCAGTCAGGTGATTATTGGCCAGACACTTAGGTACCTTATGTAACACCATCACTAATGATAGTGTGACGCGCTGTATAATAAAACTCAAACCTATTGCTGATGAGGAATTTCCGTTATTCCCTCTTATATTATTTTTGAAATGATAGGGTTAAATTTAAAATATACAATGCACTAATGATAGATTAGATGATAATAGGTGGGAAAAGCTTATATTCTTTTTAAAAATTTTCCTCATTGAGCACCGGATAAAGCCGCCATACGCACCGCTTGTATGCTTCCTAAAAATGTGTGTTTTAGGTGATTTATCAAGACGTACATTATTTTCATAATCAATAGGTAATTATTATAAAAAAAATTGGTTTGTCTTGCAAATGACACCGGGAAATTTGGTTCCTTCCGTTCCTCATTAGCAAATTCAGTCATAATGAATTAACATTAGAATAATATCTGTAAAAACCGTCAATTCCAATAATAACATTTTGTGCGTAAATAATCAGGTTTTTTTTTACACGCAACACTTTCTATTAAAAGAAGACCTTCACAAGAATTCATATAATTGTAGGAACTCATTACAAATAAGTTGCATATTTGTTCTATTCGAGGTTTTATTATTATGATCCTATAGTCTAATAGATCGTGTAGTTCATTCGCAAACCAATAAGCACCCAGCGTTTTAGCATGGACGCCTAAATACAATTTAGTGGGGGTTCACTAGGTTTTCTCTTCGCGGTTCCCCACTTGGACATTTCACTTATCATTAAAGAACCACTTTTATTTCTTCGGCAACCCAGTCAGTGCATAACCGCGTTCTGTGCTGTCACATTTGGGGAGAATTATACGATTTCTACATGGGTGAAGTGCATTAGCTCCTGCGTGTGATCAGTGTCCCTGGATATTATTAAGTGCATAGTGAAAATCATGGTGCCGACATACGTCGTTGCCGCGATCCTGTTATCAGCTACACTTTTCGGTAAGTACGCGGGTCTTAGATAACAGACTTTTTGGAGAAGGTACTACTATGCGTCCCCGTTCCCGGCGCCTCGCGCGCCTCTCATGTATGTGTAAGAAGATTAATTAGCAAAGCACGCATACATTAAGCGTTGCAGTGCTATAAAATACATTGGAAAATTAGGTCAATGAAAATTTTATTAATTTTTGATAAAAATAAATAATTTTGAAAAAAATACAAATGGTATACCTAGTTGTTACTAGGGAATCTAATAATTGTCTATTATACGGTTACACATAATCCTTTGGATTCAACTGTTTTGGGGACAGTATAGGGTGCTCCAGTTTCAGATTGGAGACTTTCAATAGGAAACGTCAATTTCTGAGCGAGATATAAAAAAATTAACCCTCCACTCTGGGGTTCAAATTTCGTGAAATCTTGATTGGTGCAAACCGCATTTTGATATCTTCAACCGTTTTGAAGCTAGAGGGTGTTTTTTGATTTTGAGCAATACTGTGGAAGCTTCATAACTATTTTATTTATGAAAATAGATTATTTCCGTAAAAACTTTCTAAAAGCACTTTTTTAAGCAAAATCCAGTGACAGTCTCAGTTGATCAGAATTCAATTTTCTTCACTAGGATACTATGTAATGATAGCTCGTTGGATAGTTTTGCTTCTGCTGATTTCAATGTTATAAAGTTCGATAGGTTTTTCTTTAGCAGTTTTCGAAACAAAAAAAAAATCTGTTTTTGTCATAAGAAACATAGTGTTAGAAAGAGACCTTTCTCATTTTCCTTAGAGATATAAAATCTTTTTTTTAATAATTAAATTCTCGATTAAATAAGAACTTCAAATTGTTAAAATATTAAAACGGAATCTTGTGAACAAATTATAATTCATGAATTTCTTATAATTGCCTTTTTCTGTAACCCAAAGTTTCCACGCGCTATTTTAGGTCTGTTACTGCACCAATAATTTAACAAATAGAATAAATCATCAAATAAAACTTAGAAAAAAAAATAAAATCAATTTGGTTGGTTTCTACTAGAGCAACTATTGATATCCATTCTCAAAATAAGCAGAATTACAAATCTAAATATTTATTGAAATACTGGAAGGAGCGAGACCGGAAAAGGGTGACAATGTTATGTAACAATGGCTAATTGCCTGATTTGGACAAACAACTTTTAGCATGAATACGTTTTTTACTAATTATAGGAGTAAATATTTCCTCAATTGGAAACGTGAGGACATGAGGGGAGTGGTCTACGTGGTCTATATTTTCATAATAACTATAATATTCTCCAGAATAACTGCTTTACAATCTACAATATCGCTTTGAAGTATGTAGTAATAATTAATAATTGCAAAACAAAATGCTGGAGAAATTTCTTTGAATTGGTGAAAATTCCTAATAATTCGTGATTAGTCAACTTCGTGAAGTAAAAATAAAACAGTGTTGACAGACGTACGATAATTATCGTATATGTACGATAATTCCAAGAAGGTACGATGTACGATCGATAATGGATAAATGTACGATAATTTTTGAATGTTGATAAATTTTGAAAAAGATACACTGAAATCGCTGGAGGTCCATTAAAAATTGAAATACTAGCTCTTTTTTCCAGTGCCTGAATTATTGCAAGGGGTAGGGAATAACAGAAATGAGTACTTTTTTTCTTATTTTTTTTTCGTTAATCAAAGTAACCAAATCGGTTGACGGATGGTTACTGAAAATTCCGGTTACTTGAAGAACGCGAATATGAAATAAAAAATAATTGACAGAATTTGCAGATAAAACCAACAGAACCGACATTTGGTAGCCGGTAACTATTTTGACATTTGGTTAACCAGATTTCAGGAAACCAAGGTCCAAAAGTAACCACTTTTCCAGAAACCAAGGAATTTTGATTACTTTCGGACCGCGAAACCACAACCCTGGTTATATTCGGAACACAGCCTAAATGTTTTTTCAATGAAATTATTTTGCAAATACAACTTTACCCCTTCAATTTAATGGGGCCACCAGCCTCCGATGACGTCATACTGGTAAAGTCAGTTTTGTACGATAAAGTCATGCAAAAAACGATAATTTCTACAGCATTGTAGCATAATTTGGTTCTGGTCATCTGGCAACACTGAAATAAAAATAAAAATATAGGGTAGGTACCTAATAATATTTTCACGCCTAATTATTATTAAAGCTGTTATTCCAAACAGAACAATTACTAAATTTTGGTGATTGAATTGGCTTTTTCTATGCATATTGTGTATTGTATAGTACCTATTGTCAGTTTCAGTCATACTCTCAACTTTCGGAAAACTGCGATTCTCAACACTATCAGAAATCTTCACCTGAGAAATCCGGAAAGTAACAAATGTCACTGATGCCACTTTAACAACTGGCTATTAATTAAATATCCAAGATTATTTATCTAATTAGTGAAAAAAAACATCTGAAACTTATTCATACGGCTGAACTTGAAATAAAAAGACAAAGAGTATACATAATATAGTAATAATTAGATAATATATGGATTGGGTAACCGCCGCAGCCTTAAGCAAGACAGCGATTGTTGCACGTTAAGATTCACAAGTATCTTTTATATTTTAATCTACCTTGAGAACCTCTCGCTTGTGTGTAAATGAATTGGGTATTTGGTTATGAAAATAGAGATTTTTAATATGAATTTACGACCGAAAATTTCTTGCATTATTGCACTTCAATTAAAAAAAGTCATTGACACATGTTTTGTTTTCAATTTAAAGAAAGACTTAAACCTTGGTTGTCTATTTATTCCAGCCATAAACTACAATATGTTACAAAATTGCTAGTTTTGCGTAAAAGTTTATATAATTATAGGATTTGTAACTTCCTGGAGTGTAGTGTTTTTTAAATAATATTTTGCTATTAAATACCCACAATAATTTGACTTTTGACATATAAATTGTTATTGGTTCTGTGTCATTATTACATCATACTTATTGTATAAATGGTAATAGGCATTGCCAAATTATAAAAATAATTAAGGTTTCAAATAAAACTTTGAAGATTTGTTGTTACAGGTACTTCTTTTAGCAACCCAGTGCAAGTATTTAGGAATCAATAAAGAATTGCTAATTAAAAGTAGAAACTAATTAGGTTTGCAATCACCCTCACTTATAAGCATGTTACAAGGCTAATTATTAACGATACTTTGATAATTAGAGCATAAACTATTAAAAAGTCTTTAAGAAGGGTTTTTAAAGTCTGAGTAAAAAATAAGTTTTAGGTATACAATTTCAAGAGTTGTGAGGGAGGAAAATATATCTAATAAGTTGTGTCTTTAATTATATTATATAACGCTGACCAATTAAATTTTCACGAGGTTAGGTGAAAGCTATTAAAAAAGAATCGTAATGATTTATTTGCAACACAAGTAGGTAATTCAAAAACAAGGTGGTTTAAAAAATTATTCACTGATGAGAACTACAGTAGGTATTCATTTTTTTTTTTTTTTCTAGGACACTTTAATTGTTAATTTATTTATTTAGCATTTGGCAATGGCATTTCTGTTTAACAGGATGTCATGTTCACCCATACCAAAGTTTCTCATACGCGCTATTTTTATTCTCAGTTCAGTAATTTGTTACATTAATATAACATACATATAAGTATTGTTATATTACCTTACCTTTCATGCAAAAATGATTTTCCTAAACTATATCTGGCGTTATATCTGGCATTACTATAATCAAGGCATTCAATAATACGACGACATAATATTTGCAATCTACCATAGAAGGACTCAGTTTCTACATGGTATTTTCTCAAATTAATTTCCTAATAACTATAATACCGTAAGTCAAGGTTACTAGACCCCTCGAATCGGACTCGGAGTGACTTATGGCCGTTTGTACCGACCATTTTAAGGGAGGTTTAACGATAATCAACGCTTAAAGTAACATTTTTATATGTAATCCCGATTTACATGTAAAAATGTCACTTTAAACGTTGATTATCGTTAAACCTGTAAAAATGTCACTATAAACGTTGATTATCGTTAAACCGCCCTCAAAATGGTTGGTGCAAACGGCCATTAGTAGTGAAACTTTTACGCCATTATAGTGTATTTGGGACATGATTGATCGCAAATCATACACATAAAAACGACAACCATTTATCATTTTTAGTGATAATTTAATTTTTTCTGATTTTGTTTGAAACTATCCTATGCCTACCTGCTAAATAGCTAAAAGTTGCCTTTGCTAGCTTTATTGTACTTGTGTTAAAACTAAAATCAATAAATTTTTGATTTCTCGTTGTAGGTATGACTTAAATACAATTTCTGTGTTACGCTTACCTTGATAACTTTTTATTATTTTGTCTTTTTCATCTGAAATTTTGGTACCAGGAAATAAATTCAATATGCGAATTTCAAATTAAAAACCCTGTTTACAGTTTGGTGATGCAAAATTTTTTTGACAAACATCTTCAACTTCTTTTTTCACATAATTTGATAACAGCTGATTCTACAAATTTGAATAGATATTTGATATTTTTGTTTGTCCTAAAATGTTGTCGACTAAACATTATTGTTTCCAGTTTTCCTCCCTTATTTACAACATGATTCTGCAATGGTACACATTTTTCCTTAAAAAAAAAACAGATCCGAGTATGTCCTGTGGGTTTTCGATTTTAATTTTTTCACCCAAGTGAATAATTGAGAAAATAAAAACTATTGAAAATTTTTGATAAGTTGAATATCGAAAATCAGAGACCTAGATCCATTTTTATGGAAAACGAGTAAAAAACAAGGTTTAATTTTTTTTTTTTTTTTCCATTTGTAGACAAAGGAGAAAAACTGAAAACTAGTCTTGGGGTTTCACTGTTGATTCCTGATTACCTATACTGAGTAGGTGGGTACAGGGTCTTCAAAGACTAAGTCAAAAAGTGCTTTGATACAAAAACGTACGTCGCGTCGGTTTCAATAAATAAATGTCACAGTGGCAGATTTTTGGCATCATTGTTGCTTT